AAGTAATATTTTAAGGTGAATGAACCATATTTTATCCATATTGAACATATTTTCAATGTGTTGTTATAGCTAAATTAATTCAATAAAACAAAAACAACTTTTTTTATACATGTAGTTACAAGCAAATAATAACACTGTAAACCTGAGTCATGACAAAACTACTTGTTGAGAAGTCTATGAAGATTCTCAGTCATCCAGGTCATAGTTATCCAACGAAGGTTAAAGTCAAGGGCAACTGGACTTGGTTGAAGATACTGGAAGATGTTTCGTCCCTCATCCAAACCAACTTGTTGAGAATATTTCTTAAGGGGCTTTGTTTATGTAACAAGGAAAGGTAAAACAGGTCTAGCTTAGAGTAACTTAGCTGACCCCATAAGTGTTTTCTGACATTCTAGCTTTAGGTATTTCTCACATGTACTTGTAGAGAACGTGTTGGCTGGCACTGTATCTCCTCGGCCGGGCCCAATAAACCATGCTATGTTAAGTCTTCATCAGTCTCCGAAACTTCTTCACACCTGAACCTGGCTCACAATATTTCTTCAACACTACTACACCAAAGTTATCAGCTGAATAACTAGCCTGGGTCCTAGATAATCTTGCCCCTTTTGGTAACACTACTAGCTGATGCTTTAATGTAACGTTACCAATTTGGGTTATGGCATAGTTAGCAGTATTATCTGGCTCTTCCTTGCAGTTGGGAATGTTTACTCAAGATAGGCTTTGCAAAATTCAGCAGTTGTCTTCAAACTTGAAGCGTTTTTAAAAAGTCAAAAATGGCTAATGTTACTGTTTAATTTAGCTATCTCACTGTTGTGTTTCTTGTCCAGGTATGTTTTCGAGTGTGGCTTATAATCCATGGTGTTTTTCAGCCACGGTCATGTACACAGCTCTACTTTTCCACTTCTGGGCCAAAAGAAACATTTTCTCTGAACTTTAGTTAGCCAGTTACCCTTTAGGGTCAGCTAACGTTAGCTTTTAGTCGCTGCACAGATGATGCTCTTTCATCCTTCAATCCCATTTAAAAAGTCATGAGATGCTTTCCGCTTCAGTTATTTCCTCGGCAGCAGAACAGGTTAACTAATACATAACACATTTTGGAGCTAACACGAGCAGAAGGGTCTGACAGGTCTTGGTTTTGTTCTTGTAGCCTACATATATTTTTAAGACCATTAAAATCTTACATTCCTGTCCTCTATATAGAAGAATAGTAATGAGCAATGATTCTAATAGTTTTTCAGAAATTATGAAGAGTAGGTCTAAACATTTACTCTGATCAGGTTGAACTTGGGTGGAGCTGATAATTATGTATATTAATGTAATTGCCACAAAAGTCCTAAAATGATAAATGTGTAATTTGTCCTACACGAACAGGTGCAGCAAAGCCCCAACAAAAACATGGGGAAGTTCATACAGCCAAAATAGCTGAATTAAAGCCTCAGGTTTCAATCTTAGGTACTTCTTTATACTGTAGCCAACATTAAATATTCATTATTAAAAAGGTGCAACAATCAAAGTCTGGGGGAAAAACTGTTAAGTTGGTATTTATTAAAGGTTCAACAATGTATCTGCTTCATCAGGACTGTGTGTGTGTGTGTGTGGTTTAATCAGTCCAATCAATTTGACTGACAGTGGACGTGAAATAAAAGCAACGACCCCATGAAATAATGTTTTGAACATTGTTAAACCCGATTGGTGCGATGACATATGGTCAGACTGAACACAAAAAATAAACAACAAAAAAGCACAACTCTAATGTGACATAACCAAGACAGAAACAATTTTCCTTTAAACTCACATGTGCAGGTTTGACATAGGCGTGTAGGGCCTTGATGATAACCCTGTCATTCATTTCATACATTTCACCAAGTTTTGTTACCTTTTTTTTATACAGGAAGATTAAATTGCAGTACTGACCAGGCTTTACTATCAAGTACAACCACAGCCCAAACTCTTGTACACTTTGGGCCCCAAAGTGGCAAACATTGACAACCCCCCCATCTTAAATCAATGTTATCTTGACAAAAAAAAGCTACAGAGGTATTTTCTTTTATGTGCTAAGGCTGTCAAGTTTCCCCAATACACAAAGCTGGAGATGACATTGATTCACCTTTCATTTGGAATTCTGCTAGGCATTCGGCCATTGATTTTTCAATATGGGGCGAGATATGAAATGTGCCATTTTGTGTATCACATCTGAGCTACTCATACAGTGTTGTTCACATGATCTGCAGCTCCTTCTCTCTCCACTTGCTCTCATTCGCTCGCATATACAAACATGCAGACTCACGTCCTTGAACACGCCATGCGCGAACACACATATTCCCAGCTGCTCTCGACCACGTTTAGACACGAATGGCAGACAACAGTTTTCCAATACCATCTCCTCAACCAGACAGCTCACAAATGGACTCGTCCTTATCAGCACATCCACAGTGTCTCCACTCCATTTCCCCTCCTGTGCTAAACTGTTCTAAGGATATTTCCTGTGTAATTGGATGTCCAGTCATCATACAAGGCAGGGAAAGACTGGAAAATGGTGTTAAATTAACAAAAGATCCACTGTGCAAAAACATCAACCCAGCCAGATCAAAGTCCCAAAAATGTTTATCAAAAACAGACTGAACAAACTGAAATTGTCAATATCTCAGATCACATTGATTTTTACAAAGAAAACTACATTGGATGAGTTTAATATTCAATTCCAAGATAGATACATTTAAATAAATCAGTCATGGATTCAGAATGTAGAATTGGAGGTGGGTTAAGTGCTGGATGAGGGATGCAGGGAAATCATGACATCGCCCTTAACTGTCAACAACAAGGATATCTTCAGTCACATGGATAGTTGGATGAAACTGCTTGCCAGAGAGCGATTCCTCTGGGGCTTGAATTTTTAGTTTTTATCATAAGCATCTGCTCCGTTGTCTGTTAAAAGTGTAGATAAAGGTATATTTGACAAGTGTTTTCAAATTTTCATGATAACCTATGAAATAAATACATATGTATATAAGATGGTTGCATGTTCCTATAATATCATTGAATCTCTCCAAAAAAGTCAGAGCATAAATAGTGTTATATTAAAATGTTAAAATTATTTCTTTGAGATCTCCAAAGTGTTCAAAGTTAGGAGCACTGAGCACATGTCACCACTTACTATGTGGTTAGGGAGGTAAGCAGAAAACCTTTAGAAATCAACAATTTCAGTCTAAAGCCTAGCCAGCAAAATCAATACACACTTGTGCTAGTCAGAAAATATTCTCACTTTGGTAAACAGCGTGAATAATGAATACCGTTTGACTGAAAATATCAAACAAGGGCTGCGATCTCTATCTCTTCATGTGCCAATAAACATGGTGTGTGGCATTACAAGTATCCCAAGCCAATGGGAAGTAAGCTGCAGTATTGCTTATTCACCGTGGTATTTTGTGCCACGCATGCATGTTCCCGGGCAGCTTCAGGGCCTGGGTTGGATTATGAGCTTGCGTAACAACTCATTAATGAAGTGGATAGGAGTCACATCTTCAGCACATTTCATGGACTCGCTCGGGTATGGAAATGCCACTCAAAGTGATGCAGCGGTGACGGCCGGAGCTCTTTCTGTCCACCCAAGTCATATCTCTAAGTGAAGATCCATGCTTAAGCATACGGGCCAGAGAAGGCGCCAGAGCTCATCCCCACCACCCCCACCCCCTTCGTCTTTTGATGCAACATTCAGGCTGTAATAAGAGGGGCCAAAAATCTCTGGCAATTTTTCACAATAACTCAGCCATCAATCACAGTACCAGCTCTGTGAAAATGGGCTGAATTCACCCTTTCTTCCTGCAATACTCTACATGTAAAATATGGTAAAATACAAAAGGAAAATATGTGAGAGAGAAGTACTGCTTACTGCTCATCACACAGTGATATGATTAATTTATTAGACTATATGTCATTTCCTTTTTTGTGCAGTATATTGTGCCAATGATCTGGGCCTTTACCTTTGGGTCCTTTATATGTGCGTGGTTGAAATATTGGTTTTAGTAAAGTTATTCAATGTTCAATTGTTCATTTAATTTTCACAATGCAATGTAAAATGCCAGACCCTAATTGTAAATAGCTCCCTCCTATAAAACAGAATATATTTAAACCTTCCTTCACCTGCCCACAAGGAAACTCAGAGTGTACAGTACCTGACCAGCACTAAACAGCAAGGCTGAAGTAAACAACTGATAGAAAGTTAAACACCTAGAAAGCTAAAGACCCTGATATTTTTCTCAGGAGTTGGCTGACTGGGCAAGTACATATTGAACTTACATTCGTCAGGTGGGTCGGAACAACCCCAGTGGGAGGCTCATGTTGCTCTTTGTTTGCTGGAAGTTTAAGTCGGCAGGTTTGCTAACACGCTAGCTATAAAAACTTGACAGGCCGATGGGACTATTTTGGAGTCTTTCTGTCCCTTGTGGTCAATAATTGCTGAAAGCTGCTTCGAAATACTTCCATTCAGTTCTACAAGAAATTCTCAATCCAAAATAATTTGCTCTACTGCACTATATGAAGTTTGCTTAGTTGTGTTGCTAAGATGATTGAAAAAAGGAATTTAAATATACAAATATCATTCAGTTTCATTTTTGTTTTATCATACAATATGTTTTTAATATTTGAAGCTGTATTCATTGATTGGTTGCTACTTTACGGCAGCATAACCATCTGTAAACACACTATTGACAGATTATCGGCATAAAAAGTTCTTATGGTTAACATCCTGATTTGGGGTTTTTTCTCCAACCAGAAGAATATGATTATATTGTGACCATGACTATCAGCACTGTATTTCAGATACTAAAACCATGAAACAATAAAACACTGTTTGAAAGGTTACTTTGTAGGACACAGCAAACTTACCTCTCTTCTTGTCTTCTGCCAGAATGATCGAGGTGACTTTCATGTGCCCTGCTTAGCTTATGAAACGCATGTAAAACATACAGTATTTGTAAAGAATTAATTGGTTACACCAGCAATGATATTGAAATATTTATTACAGCTTATGAAATCACTGCTTCTATTGTAAAGCAGACCAGAGCATACAGAGCACATCCACTGTTGCAGGGCCAAAATTCATTTGGCACTAAAATGGACAGAGGGCTAATGAGTGATATTAACTGATAATAAAAATTTAAAAAATCATTGATCGTTCCATCATTTGGAGGTCCTTCCCTATAACCCATATAAAAGTGTTCCAAGACCCAGACAAAACACCAGAACTTTTGCCATAGCTAAGTGATAAATCTTAATCAGTAATTTATTTGTTTCACTGTTACAACAAATATTAGTTATGAGGTCATTCAACTTGGAAACCATTACAAAAGGAATAAATAAGAAGCCATAATCATAGCCAATAATAAAGACTTATCTGTGCCACTAAACTTACTTCCATCCTCCAATTTATTACGGTTTATTTAAACAAATAAATAAATATAATTTCTCCTCGAGGAAGAAAAAAAACAAAACACTTCCAGTTTTTCTCACCCTCAAAAGCTCTTTCTTTAATAAGTAAAACAACCATTGTTCTTTTTTGTATAAGCTCGTAGTGCTTATCGATGTTCAACTTGTTCTCTTTCTGAGAAGCAAAAACGTTTACTGAATGCCAATAGAGATGCAGAATGCACTATGAACCTTTCTGAGGGACAACTCCTGATTAACGTGGACTTATGCTGTCTCCTCGACAATCTGTGAACCCGAGCTCTGCTATCTACACAGTAAAAAAAAAAAAATGGGAAGAGAGATCAAAAGGAAACAGAAAACACACCTGAAAACAAAAGTGAATATGTTGCACAAAAATGCCTGCACAGTAAGTGTTTTGTTGTGATTTTTTTGTGTTATTTTGTTTCTATTTAGATGGTAATTTCTTGGAAAGTGATAAAGAGGAAACCAAAAACAGACTGGTACCAGAAACCCAGAAAGGCCAGCACAACAGAACAAAATTGCTCCTAACCACTACATTTACAGAGACAAAGGGTTTGCTTGGAACAAAAAAAAAAGCATACTATTATGTGCAATGCTAGTTATCTGTACAATTACATAGAAATATCTCATAATTCTCTTATTAGTTTTTTTTTCTCCCTCTTTTAACAACTGTTATTACAGTAAAATGAAAGAAAAAAGAACAGCTATGCTTGAAAGCATACGATCAATAATTCCTTCATGGTAATTGTTCAAAATGCGTTGGGTTTTTTTTGTCTTTTTTTTCATTGAAGGGACACTTCAGCAAACAAAATGTGCTGCAACTCACCAAAGAGGAAGAAAATCTTTCAAAAAGTCAATATAGATACAGAAGTATAATAAAATAGTCCTTTTTTAAATTTCCCATTTATTCTGGTGAAGTCTACAGTTTAGACTTGTATAGTTTGGGGCTATGCAGTTCCTTTTGAATGTCAGACTCTATCTCTGAGACCTAAAAATCCTGTGTGAGTAATTGTCTCTTCACACTGAGACAAAACACACCAAACCACACAGGGTTTGAGCGGAGAAACACAACATCAACAGATTCCCGCACTGTCTAACCAAATATTGTCACATATTAGCCCCCATACGTAGCAATTATTATCCTGTTTGTGGTGAGTAACAGCGAGAGTACAGTTATTTGCTCCGCCTCATTCTTCGGGACACAGAATAAGAACAAAGGCTACCACTGCCAACGACTGATGGAACAAGGGGACACAGGGAAGAGAAGAGGACTACAGTAAAAGGAGGGACACTGGAGGCATAGGAGGGTGTTGGGCCTATAGGCTGGTGACCAGGTGTGAGGGCTCCTGGTGGGCCTCTTCTGGAGATAGATCCTCTTTGTTTGGGGGCACGATAAAGCCATCGCTGCTGCCCCGCCCTAGCTGGTAATAGGAGTGCAGCTGATGGAGGTGGTTACGTGAGCCCAAGTTGGGCATGCTCTTGTAGTAAACGTCATCCGAGCTGGCCTCTGGGCTCTTGGCATCCCCGCCATCCTTGGAGCCATCAGCAGATTCCGCAGACACGTCGGGCAGGCCGGACAACATGGGCATGCTGGTATAGAGGGAGTCTCTCTGGTGGTTGTGGCTGGGTGACGAGCTCTCGTCCTCGGTGTGCTCGTTAGTAAGTAAGGGAAAGAAACTTTCGCTGTTCTCCTGGGGGATCCGCCTTCGAGACGAGGAGGAAGTGGTGGCGGACGAGAAGGGATGGTGGGGAAGTGGGAGGGGTGGCGGCACTGACTGGTGGAGGTGATTGTGGAGGTTGTCCACCGCCTGCAGTGAAGGGGGCGGTCTTTGAGGCAACAGCGGGGCGTTAGACTCCTCGCGGATTAACTCCAGGCCCAGGCCTTCGTCGTGGTGCAGACCAAAGGTGGAGTGGTCATCCAGGCTCAGCGCGACATTCATGCCCATCCCCACTCCCAAGCCCATCCCATAGCCACTGTCCTTGCCACCGTTGCTAACATTATTGACCAGCTTATTCATTAGGTTCCGGTTCTGCTCTGTTGAGCGCTCGTGGGAATTGTTGAGGTAGGAGGGGATATAATTGGAGGTGAGCTCTTTCAGGATCTTCTTTTCCAGGGTGGTCTCCTTGTGGTTATAGCCCCGGTCAATGATCTGGACACAGTCACTCATGTACTCAGCGCTGGCGATACTGTAGCTGTTGCCATGGTTACCATTCAGTGGTAGAGTATCCATGACACTTGTATCCCGGGCATTGTTCAGGATTCCCTCTGGAATGACAAACATGGGTTGGGGTGGGGGGTAGAGTGGGCGAATGAGAAGGGTGAAATCTGATGGGATGTAATTGCGACAGCTAAATGTCAGCCACTTTTACAAACACAAATTATATCCATCAAGTACTGTAGCTCTTCTGATATATCTCCTGACCCTCAAGCAATCTCTACAGTATTTAGATTTGGTAAGAGATAAAGCACAATATTTACATTAAAACCCTACACCTGTATGCTGCAAATATAAATGTTAAACTTACCTTGTTACAAAACAATATTTTCTAAAACCCAAATTCACTTTATATTAAATTTTACTGATTGTTCCATGGCAGTGATGAAAACACTGATATATGTGCGACACACAACACCACAAAGCTTAAGCACGGCACAAAAACACAAAGCTCATGCACTAAATTCAGGCAAAAGACAAAAAACATAACCACGCATTGAACACTTAAAGTGAACACAAACCAGAACACCAGCTGTAAATTTGGACCCCAGCCATATTGTCCCATATGAGCATTGCAATTTGACATTGTAAAGCTGGATAACAGTTTTTATTGCTCTGCTTTGTCCGTGTGAACATCACTAGCCATCTCTCTAAATGTGAATTAGTTATTATATTTCAGGGTCAACCCGCACTAGAAGGAGGGAGACTTTCTGTTCTCTCTGTTGCATGGACATGTAGATTTCATACTTTATCAGTTAGACCAAGTCCATGCTATCAACATCAAAGCAAACTTTTGACAGTATTTCAAACTGCCTCTGACAAGGCCATCCACACAGTCTGACCTCTTGAAAATTTGACAAGGCGCATTTCTAAGACCTTCAAGAAGTGTATTGGCTTGATCAAAGTGAATGGTCAAAAACAATAAGTGCATGAACAAAGGCACACATATTCACTGAGAGGAACACAGATCAATTTATATTGACGTGCCTTATAAAATGTTGAGGTGAGTCTGAATGTTGACTGTAATTGGATTAGCTTATTCAGAGTGTGATACAAATGCCTGAAGTCTTTTTTACATGACGTGTAGTGCTACCTACAGTAATCAGTGGAATTCAGGATGTGATTTAAACAGATTTTTACAGGTCTATTTGAAACGTTGAGGGCCTTTGTCATAAAAAGAATGCTATTACTTCCAAAGGGAATGACATTTTTTTTCCCATCACCCCTTTGTCATCATTGAGTAAAAAGAAAAGTAAAGCCAAAGTCAATTACATTTGATAAGCAATGTTTAGTTTGACTCCCATACTTGTCTCTCTGTAGGGCTCTTTTAGGGACAGCATGAGGGAAAGGAAAGAAGAAAAAGAAAACACAATAAGCATAACAGTGACAGGTAGAAGAGAAATGTGCACAAACAGTATGCTGATGACGTATCAAGGAAATGTTTCTAGAATGCAATTGTTTTATGTCACTATGCAAATTTTGCACATCCACAGATAGAACCACAACATATCAATTAACAATTATAGAAGAAAAGATGTTTTGCTATGACTTATTGCAGGGTCCTTGGGGTAAAACGTGGCGATGGAGGTTGTGTGTCAAATGCACCAGTAAATCTTTCCAGATATTTCTATTAACTCTATGGCAATGTTAGTGAATTATAGCCCTCTGTCACAAGCTCCAATGCGGTACTTGTACTGCGTACATAAATTATCCACCGATCAAAGTTCTCTGTGAGTTTGTATCTGAGTTTTACACGGGTTTCTCAATTTTTACAGACTCACAAAGTTACAGCAATCTCATATTGACTGCTGAGAGTTGGGGGTAAAATAATAACAGCTCTGCACAGAGAAAAATAGCATTCAAGAGTCAGACTCATCGCAGAATAAAGTGGATTTCTTGTTTGCTGATCAGAGATGGTTTCTAAAACTCAGATCTAATATTCGTATTGGTGTTATAATCAAAGACCAATATATTAGCCCCCCACCCCCAAAGAAAAAGCAATCAAATGTACATGACCCCCTTAATGACCCACATTTTGAATATATGAATTAGAAAGTTATTATAATTAAAAGTTTCAAATAAAAGTGCAATTTAGTCAAAGGAGGCAGATAATATTTATGTACATAAAAATATTAAAATACTAAGATTCAGTGGCATTTATGGCAAACAACAATGTCTGACAATCCAACAGCAGCATAAAAAAGAAAGAAATGCTAAAACTATAAAACAGAGAGACAGAAGACATGGCACACAAGCTTCACTGACAACATCATAGCACATTTAAAATAAATGACTGGGGGTGTATCCGGCTCGATTCTTGATAATTAAAATACAATGTATGTGTCGGCCAAACAGCCGTGTCTGACATAACCAGGAGCCGAGATACACCTCCATTGAAAAACCCCACAGCCAAACAAACCTGTGGGGGTTTTGTGATAAAGCTAGTTTGTTCAATGCTAACACACAACAATCTAGAGCAGTGGTTTTTTTTTTTATCAAAGTCCTGTAAAAATCTTCGAGGGTGAACACTGGCATTTAAGCTTAATGTAAGCCCATTAATTTTAACTCTCCAATCATAAAGTTGCTTTCTGTGGCAACAGAGATGTCCAACCTCGACGTTTCTCCAGGATCAGACATGAAAAAACACTGCCCTAGCCACAATGTTAAAGAATGAAAAGAAGCTAGCACACCTTGTGTGTTGTACATGCCCAGAGGGTTGTTATAGACTGCCGATTCCCCAAGCAATGTATTATAGGGATTGTTAGTGCCATGAGGACGTAGGAGTGCATTAGGTATAAGATGGTTAGCCATAGCCCCTGGAGCAGCCAGAAAGAGACAGAGTGAGACAGAAAAAAGAGAAGAGAACAAGAGCAAAGAGACAGAAAAATAGGTAGGAAGGTAGATAATTTGAGATATAGACAGAGAGAAAGAGAGATAACATACATATCAGTTGGGCAGATGCAGCTGAGCAATGACAGCCATTAACATCCAAATGATCACATGATCATTAATGTGAGGGGTTTTGCTACATGAAAGTGGCGGAGCTGAACTGACATGGCTAATGGGACTGATGGGAAGTGTGTTAATTGTATTGTTAATGCCGGCCATTAGTGTTAAGCCTGTTTTTGTGCTCCACATTCAGGCGAGCATCCTCGTGTTAACAGACATAAATTACAAAGAAGCACCAATATGACCAACACAGCACACATACCATTACATTTCTAGACTCAAACAGGACAGAATACAATAATCACTTGGGACACTGTTTGGTCCATCAGGGCTGAAGAAATTAATAAAACAGAAAGTGCTCCAAATTCTTGTAATTGACTGTTAGCAACACACTTTCCCCAAGATTGCAGTTATTAGCAAGGGTAACTAAGAATGGCAGGCCCGTCAAGCTTTGGATTTCTCCACATGATAAAGCGGTGCGCATGGGTGTGTGGCGATACTTTACATTAGAAGAATTCCTTTTTTAACCTTTCAAAGGCCAAGAACAAAAGACCAAAAACTGTTTAAAAACAGGATTAAACTGTGTGTTCGTCTGCTTTAAAGTAAGATGAAATTGTTAGCATGTCTGGCTAATCAGCTTACTAGCTACAGTAGTAACCAAGTGTTCTTTGGCCAAGGAGAATATTATTGACTAACTACACTAGGCCTACATTAATAAGCTATATGGGGTTATGTAAAAAACAATGCAGTTCTCAATAGCACATCCACTGTGTAGTATTTTCCAGGATGCTGTCAGACTTTACGATCGTTAGCAGGTCTGAATTGAATAACTCTCTGAGATAGCTTTAGCTACATAATGAAGTCAGTCCAGACAATCAAGGGCAAACATACTTTTTGAAATATAAAAAAAGTATCTAGGCTAACTATTCAAACAGGTTTCTGAAAAATAAGTAGTTCTTACATCCGTCCTTATCATACAGCTAGTTAGCTACAGTTGATAAAACTTCCCTGTCGTGACCTCCACTGCAAAATCTGCAACCTGAATCTGACTAGAAATGAGAGACCTACTCTCATCTACCTCTTGCTGAAATCAAAGACACATTGTTGAAAAATAACAAGGAATTTCGAGTGGCATATCTGCCACCATTACCATTGTAAACTGCATTTGTGCAGTGTGAGAATGAAAAGGTTAACAGGCATGGGAACTGTAAGAAAGGTGGGGTCATGGTCACATGACTTTTTATTATTGCTTGTAGCATTGCCAATCTTATGAGCAGGATCTGTGTAATATTTCCTTTTCTCCAAAGAGCAAAGTTCACATTATGTCTGATTGTCTTATGTGCCACTGCTGAAATAACCTCTGAATGAAGTGACATGCCCTCTCTTTAGTGAAGAAGTTATTACTGTGCTCCAGCCTCGCCTCCTTCACACAAACAGAACAGAAGCTCATTTCCTATTTATGCGAATGACTCATCAGTTTCCCAACCACATACTACCACACCAAAGCAACCTTAGCTGCAGATTTGAAAGCTGCAATCTTAAGCATGAATGGTGCAGATTCCCTGATGTTTGTTTTACCTTCGCTGTTGACAATTATGCGGAATATCAAGTATGCTGAAAATATTTGTGACTTGCATTCGTTTCCTGTTTACAAGAAGCCAAATTCAAGACTTATGAGGGCGATACATGCATGTGCTTCCAGTCTGCACTATGCAGGAGTGGGTAAACATTTTTTATCTGAGGTACGAGTAACACAGCTATTAGATCCCCTGGCAGAGTGTACTCTTCTTTTCTAATGCTCTGAATCTGTCATGCGAATGGAGAAAGATTTTTTTTATTACCTTGCGGCTCTCTATCTTTTCAAAAGTTTGTCGTATACTTTTGGACAGCATTCTAATGCGAAAGTATTTTTTATGAAAATTTAAAAGAAGCTGATTTAGGCCAATCTTTCAGCATTATTCGAATTCTTTGTTAGAGTTTAGTATTAATTAGGCATTTTATAATTTTGCTTGGAAATCAGAATGCTGTTTTGATTTTAAAAAACAGTAATTTGTTGTTGCTGTTGCTGCTCGCCCTAATTACAGTGTATTCCATAAACACCAGCCCCCTTTGAATTCTCCCAGTGACAGATCCCCCACTTATTGTGTCTGTGTTTGATAAATTGGACAATTTCCAAAACCACACTGATTGTGTGGTGCAATAATCATGAATGCTGGGATAAATTGAACATGCAACGCTATCAAGATGATTGCATGACTCCACTCTCGAGAAGAGCGCAGCAAGCGTGTCAGCTGCAATCTCACTCTCACGTGCGAAGGGAGTAGAACCTGGGGAGAGGTAACACATAATTCCTTAATATCAACACGGTAGGAAACGGTGGAAAACACTTCTGGCACATTCTTGAGCTCTCTATCAGATCCAGCCTGGTAAGAAGCTGGGGGTATATAATTGCGCTGATAGTTGCTATCTCCACCTTTTGTCTTTATGGAAGATCCACGTAGGTTTTCTTCAACTCCTGACCTAACCGCCCTATCTCATAGCCTAATTCAGCCACTCCACAATGATAAAGGCTGAGTCTGTTGATGGTGCTAAGCTTGGTGTCTAATTATTGAGATCTTGACACTTCCTCCCTGTGTCGAACATTAATCCATCATTGTAACTATGCATTAGTGTCTACGAAAGCAGGCGCCCAGAGCGAATTTAGAGAGTGTGCAGTGTGGAACTCGAGCCCTCCATCAAGAGATGCAATGAGTGGGGAGAGTTTCAGGGAGGGATGCCAGCCAAGACGGTATTTGCTACTTCATGTCAGATGTAGTCTGGAATCTATTTTCTGTATAACCTAAGAGACTCTATTCACTGCGCAGCTGTCAAATGCATTATGGTAAAATACTGTTTATTAACGTGTTTCTGAGAGGGAATTCCACTGAATTGATTCTGAGGTTGTTATTCTGCACTTTTCCTGAGAGGATGCAGTTTCATTTTCAAGGTTTTTGCAGTCAGATGGCACAATGTTTCAAATCAAAACTCTAACAATTTGATGAAATGCATGATGTATCAGAATTACATTGACTTAATTGTGTTTTTTATTGTTTAGTTTAAATTAAATGAAATCCTTTTTGCATACTCCTTCAAATTACTAGACGACAGAAGTGATTTGTTGGTGCTTCAAAACATAACAAACAATTTTCTGTAGCAGCATGACACCAAAGAATCATTTTATCCTTTCAATCAATGCTGTGTATTCACAATCACGTTCTCTTTGAGTGTTACATGGACAGCAGTTCTGGTTGTATGGGAGTGTCTGCAAACTATTGTGAAATGACTCATTACCTGACTTGGGAGGTTGTGTCAAGGTTGTAAGCTTTGAGTGGCAAAAAAAGGATTTTGATTCGCTAAAGTGGGTGTATTGAGGAGTCATTCAAGTAAATATTTAGTGCGGGACTAAATACCTCTGTTGAGTGACGCAGAGCTGTTGATGTCGCCGGTCATAAAAGAGGACTCGGACTGTTTCCTGACTGTGTCATTCCACATTCGACGGATGCGGCTCTGTGGAGACAAACAACATGTCAAAACACATCAGAATACTCACTCTCAACGCTGCCAGTGACACAGCTAGAGAGTAAAAGTCTGCACATGGAGAAGAAGTTCATTGAAATAGAAATGAACCAGGCCTAAACCACATTATTAGTATATTTCTATTACAAGAACTTTTCCTCATCTACTTTTTAACACAATAAAGGGTAAGATGTGAAGCAGGAGGGAGGGAAAAAAAAGACTGTCAGCTTTTTAATCTGGTTTTTAAACCATGTCAGCTGTTGGGATAAGTAACCTCCAATTAAAGATGAGCATTAGTACTGGGATAAGTGAAGTCACTACTAAAGTCATCAGTCAAGCTCTCCGAATCAGTGTCTCAGGTTGCAAAGGCTCAATCCAAGGGGGTTCTCATCCTGGTTAATTATGACAGAGTCCCATGGGCTGTTGCACAAGCTGAGGGTCTGGATATCCACCCACAGAGCTCACTACTTTCTCTCCTGTGCCAGAGGGGCTTGGCAGAAGATTTCAGGTTAATATATAACAGCTTTGGTGACAGTGAAAAAATAATGTGCAAATTGTTTTGTGATGAAATGCTTTGCTTAAAGAATCATTCCAGTCTGTTACAACAAATGACTTATTTTTGTAGCTTGGGTCATCATTGCATTGAAGAATCATCTTTACGCTGGCATAAGAGCAATTTATTGTTAACCATGTGCAAAATATAACACAATAGCATGGTCCTGGCTCAAAAATGACAGGACAGGTCATGCAGTGAAGTATTGCTTTTAAGAATCTTTCTCTTTCTGTGATTGCCTTCAACACTTCAGACAGGTTTCAGCTTAATTAAGTCATTGCCACTGCCATCACTATTAACTAAAATCGAGCTGTCACAGCATCTTGCCAAATCTCCTCCTGAAATTCTCCGTTTAAGGGCGACATTCAGACCGTGAACATGTTTCTATTCATAAAAGCGTAATCACCGCATCAGAAATGATGTGAAAAATGCCCACGAAGAGGTGTTGTGATCAATACTGCATTCTCATACATACATGTCATTATATGTCTGTGCCAACCCCGGGTGACACACATCTCACATACTCTAACAGTGACATATACTGACACAGCTGATCTCATTAACATATTGTACGTGATGCCGTTCCCGGCACTGGAGACGGCATCAATGGGTTGAAAGTGACAGTGCTATTTCTTCTTCTTTTTTGGACAGAAACTTGAACCATTCGTAGCCAGCGGGTTCTAATGTACTTTGCTGATTACACATTCATTTAGAGGCCTCAGAGTTAGCAATAAACAACCACGTCTTCCTGAGTGTTTCCATTTCTGTTTTGCTCATATAAAGTGACTGAGCATGAGGTTAGAGCCATCGCGTCAAAGCACTGTGTATAATTAAACGCTTTGATCTTTAGGCAGAATCCAGCTTGTATCGTGGGTTGCCACTGCATGCTTGACTCTAAGGACTATTTATAATTGAACACTGGAAGGAAATCACACTCTTTAGAATATGGATATGATGTTCAATTATAGTGTATCATGGCAATTCAACCTATACTTCATGTCAATGTGGGAGGAATCCATTAACAATTTACTTTTCAAGACATACCACTTGCGCACAGAATTCACATATACTTTAGTCAGCGTCGCTGTGCCAACGCGCAGCCTGCTTCAGTGAAAATGAATTGCAGACTGACTTTATGTACTTACAAAGTGTTCAGCTCAACAAGCACTACATTTTCCTGCTATCACTTCCAAACAAGGACATATGCTGCACCTCCTTGAAATCTATCATGCATACCCACACAGTCACCTTTGCATTTTTTTCTCATTTGTTCTGTAAGGGGGTGCACATCTGTGTAATGTCACAGATTATTATCTAGGAACAAGTCATCCTCACTTCTAGCTACGCAGACAGATAAAACGCAGCAGTAATCCAAAGCCAAATGTGCGTTATTTCGTCTGGGTTTGCTAAAGGAGATACTGCCAAGAGCAGTAAATCAAGAACGCAAAGAAAGAAAAGAAAGGAGAGCATTAAAAGTGTCTCGCCACCTGTGACCCTGTGGAGTAACGTCCTGGGGCACGAGAGGCGGTGCCTTTTCCAGAGCCGACGGAGCTTTCCACACTTTTGCCACTGCAGCAGTGAGTTCTCAGGCATTTTCCATACTCCTTACGCACCTGTATGAAACAAAAGCACAGGTACAGCACATACAAGCTAATGATTAGATCAAATCCAGGAGTAATAATCTCACAGCATTTCATACGTGGCACATTTGGGGATAGGTTTTGCTGAAGCACGGAATTAATTTAATCACATGTTCAGGCATCTGATGTCACATAATACAATTTCTTGTATGTGTAAAATCACACAGCACATCTTAAGAATGAAAACATACCTTCTTCTGCAGCACACAGTGGAAGATGAAGATGAACATTCCCTGCAGGGAGTTGAAGATGGTGAACAAGTAGGCCATGACCACCGTGCTCTCGTTGACATACATCAGGCCAAAGGCCCAGGTAAGGCCCAGCAGACATAGCAAGGCAATGGCCCCGATCACCCACGATCTGGAATATAAACAAACAGCCATCTTTCAAACCATATGACAAGGTTATTATCTTCAAAATGTTTTAAAACTGGTTTTGGAGTGTTAATAATATTTGGTGAGAACAAAGGGATGTATGGCTGATTTAAAAGCAACAACTTTAACTGCAGTGTGTGCTACCACTCTTTTAAAAAGCATCCAAAAGAAATCAGTTTGAGGTATCATTACACACATTATCACAGTTAAAATTTATGGTTTACTGATGAGAGGGAGAAAAGGCACAAAACAAATGAAGAGGGAAAAGAAGTTGACAATGATTTTAATCTTCATTTTCTGATTAGTTTACCTTTCCTTTTCCTTATTTGCAGTCATTCAAGCAATGCTACTGACTATTTGAAAAGCCATAGATGATCATAAAACTGCAGATTCATATATACAATAATGGAGGTCTGAATTTATGGAAGGTTTTCAAATATGGCACTTTCATTAGAAGACTATTTACATGAGAACATTACATGTTGGATTCTGCAGCCTGAAGGTTGGGATAAATGTCTTGTAAATTCTTACTCAAGCTGAAAGGTTGAACTGAGATAAATGCCTTGAAAAACGCAGAGTCTATTAAGAATGAAGGGCTCTTCTCCGCACACTGCGCAGAGAAGTGACATTTTTTCTTCACCTCCACCTTTTGGTACTTTTGGTAACTCCCTCTGCGCAGCAACAGGCGAGGTGGAGTTAAGATTAATATCTGATTCCTGCCAGCATCTGTCATCCAACAACAGCCTACATGTATGAAGATCTTCCCTGAGTTGATAAAGTCATTTCACAGCCATCTGGAGGAGGCAGTTATGCTTTCCTTTGGCAGCCAGAATCACGGCCCACCCTAACTAATGAAAAAAAAAAAAAACCTTTTTACTAAAAATTTCACAGCAGGGTTACAGTGAATACCATAAAAATGCATATGTCTTGCTTAAAACAAATTTTTTTATTCTTCAGGTGTGTGCCTTATTTGTTCTTTGTGGACGACAATGTTATTCAACAGCAAAGGTGGCTATTCTATGCAGCATTTCAAAACATAGAAATTGTGCACACTTGAAATGGTGATTTCCAGACCTTTAATATGCCCGTGCGATGCACCGTGTGCATTGCAGACATGAAATTACCAAAATTGTGCCCAACACAAGTGGTTCCCAACAGACCACAGGGCTGTCACATGAACTCAAGTCCGCCGAGGAGTTATTGTTTTCAGTGCACATGTGTCTGTCAGCAGGATTACGGAAAGACTACTGGCCCAGATATTCATGAAACTTTGTGGAAGGGTGTAGCATGGGCCATTGAAGAACCCATTAAATTTCAGGAATGTGATTTTTTTTTTTTATTAATCTGGAGTTTTCCGACCTGCACAAACTAAATAATAAATGCACAGCTGATATGATGAGGTTTTAGTTAGGCACAACTGTATTTTGACATATTGTAATTCTAATAGTTTGTCTCCAGACATCTATACAGTAGTATACATTTCATAGAAGACTGGACTAATGGCCTTATACCGCTCTAGTTTGATTTGATTTTAAACAGTTTTTTGATACTATTAAGTCTATAAAAGTGGATATTATCATGATACATTCATTCATTACTTTAGTTAAGTATTTCAACCATTTAAGCACATTTTAGCTGTTTCAAATTTTCTTTTAATGCCATCTCAATTACAGCTTCTGGCATTCAGGTGTTAAGGCTGACTCAATATGTGACTATATTTATAAATCAAAATTTAATTTCCCCCCACTTTTCTTCACTCCACAATCCTTTCAAGTAGACTTCTAGCAAGTGCTGAGGTACCCCCTGGGGTAGGAGGACCTCCGGTTGGGAATCACTGCTCTATACTTTGATTTGTGAAATGAGTGCCCTTATCTACTTATACAGATTGGATGCAGATGGAAGAGAAAAAAAAAAAAGACTATCAAAGCGTGAGTGCCGTATCTACATTACAGTACTAATATTTCTATAGAGTGCACTGTGAAGATACAGGTGTCATTTAAAACTAATCTTGCTTGTCACATATGTATATCTAGGACAGGAGTGCCGTGTGCACACTAATGTGGCCTTCAACATGACTGACTACTCCACAGTAAATCACGTTAATGATTCAAAGAGGCAGCTAGATGGATTTGGGTGCAAATGTGTTCATATGGAGGAGTAAATGAAAGATGGCATTATGGGAAAAGGGTCCTTCCAATTTTGCCTTACTTGATCTCAGGTTCATAATCCTGATAGCTGAGCAATATGACAAGAATAAAACAAAACAAAAAGAAAAACAGAGAAACAGGCAGAAATAAATCAAATCACGTAACAAAGAGATGGAGAGGTGTAATCCAAAATGTGTGGCCACAAACACAATGTACACATTTAGACATTAAGAGGGAAACAATACACCATGAAGGAAGATGGCTTATTTTGGCAGTGGAGATTAAAGCTCCATTCAAAGCATCCAAACAAGGCCAGACATTTATACATTTTGGGAAGGAGTTGATAGTGATTTACAGGTGAGTGAACCACAATTATCTCAGTTCACAGAAGTATCTAGCTCCCCTCATAAACGCTGGCAGACCTTCGCATTTAAGCGGTTATAAATGGGCCAGGTGTGCGGCAAAATAAATGATTTATGAATTCACCAGGGCGACCATTAAACATAATTTTCCCAGGGCTGTCTTAATGACCTGGTGGGAGAGGTACTTCATCAAAGCAATTGCCACTGGAATGGACACAGAAACACAAGCAGTGGGCACAAAGAGAGCAAAACATTGTCCTCTAACTAGTAACTAGAGTTTTGTTCAAAGGATGGTGGATAACACAAGAGGCCATAAGAAATGCATCAAAGAGGACACGATATGAAGAGGCTACGACTCATATCGCACATGGCCTATCTTCTTATGGAGTTATCAGATAAACATGGGGATGAATTTGAGAGCTGCATAGACGGAGCCTTGAGCCTAAACTTCAGAAAAGCATAACAGCTCACTTACAAATGAAGTGTGTGAATTTCATTTGTGTTGTATCCTGTCTGGACTGCACTCCACTGAAAGCCAATAATAAAATAACAGTTACAGAACCTCTCAGTTTATATTTCTGGCTTCATTAAGTCGAGAATTGTTTATGTAAAGTTATTTAGGAATTATTCTAATTAAATGCGTATTTTAATCACATTTTAGCATTTAAGCAATATAAGGACTTTAGCTCAAATGGGCTTGTCACAAAACCATAGCTCCTTCTGAATGGTTGTCTAGTATATAGATATACAATCCATCCCTGAGGGCTGAGGCAGAGCACTTCTCTTTCGAAGCTCAAAAAGAGAGAGAGGGAAGCTTTACTGTGCTAATCGTTGAGAAGAAACAGTTAAAATGAGCAATTTTAAGCAGAGTACTACTTCAGACTGTGGCATCAAATTACCGCCAATTTCCTTCAAAATGACTTAATTTGCAGAGGTGCCATTCTTTGCTATGTCACAGATCATTTATGTATGAGATTGCAGTTGGTCAATTCAACCACTTTTAAATCTGTGGAAAGTCATTTTATAGGCTCATTCTGGGAGGAAAAGAGGAAGTGCAGTGATCAATCCGACAGGGTGTTAATTATTTAACCAAAGGTATGCTTAAAATGCTAATTATCTCAAAGCGTTTAAGACATCAATAGCAGAAAGTTTTTGATGTTGGCAGAGATAGTTTTTTTTTAATCTTTGACATCATCTTCGTTAGCATATTTCATTTGAAGTTTCTTATCTGCATGTGGAGGAAGCTATACAAGTAAAAATTCTGACCTTTGTATAAAAAATGTTCAGCCCATCGTTAAGGCTAAAGTATTTAACGTCACAATGACACAAAAGTCATGTTGTAATCCATGAATCACAGGTCAGTGGCAGCCGCTGTCTCCATTACGGGGGGGAGGAGGGGGAAAAAAAACCACGTCAAACACAATATCAATTCTATTCTACACCCCTACACGGAGAAATGCTGCATCTTACCAGTGCCATTCTACAATAACACATCCATCATAATAACGGTAGCTAAAATGAGGAGGAGAAAAAAAATAAAGAAATGTAAGATGAAAAACAGAAAGATGTTCAAGATAAACACAGCATAACATAAAAAGGCAGGATGTGAGTGCTAATCAAAAGAAGAAAAGCAGGGAGGGAGAAAGATGTACACCGTTGAAAGAGAGCTGAAACATTTGTATTAAAACAAGGCAGCATGATGAAATCTGAACAGAAAACGTGACATCAAACCATACAGAGGAACAAAATGACAGGAAGATAAGACAAAAAAGACACACCACATTAGACTAAGCTAAACTGACTTAATTAACCAGTGGTATCACTATCATCAAACCAGTTCACCTTGATAACTCGAAGAACAGCTCAAAGTAAGTCAGTTTCAAATCTGAAATGTTTAGAGGCCATTTTGGTTGACTCAGTCATGATAGTAAGGGATACATTTACTGCTACACTAAATTGGACAAGCACATATCTGGCTTTGATATCTTGCAGTATGAAGTGGAACACAAGGGTCAAATGTTTTTTATTTCAATCCATGTTAAAACCTAAAACACTTCATTTTTTCCCATCATACTTAGGTGTTACTACTTGTTTATGATGAAAGGGAAGCACCAGTGAACGGCTGCGACAGGATATGTTTGGCTAAGCAAAACTGTTTAGTCGACAATACTAAAGTCAGTCTTCTGACTGTGCAGTGGTGGTGTGTCGAGTAATGGGTCTTGGCTTAACAACTGTGTCAGATGAATGAGGGCTGACAACAGCAGAGCAGCTTCATACCATTTTCCAATGGTCATTTGAGTGTTTCGAAGTCAGTAAGACTTGGGGCCAGGAGGTCAGTTGTTTGGTACATTATGGGAGACCGGTGTAATATATCATATGACTGAGAACTCCAGCAGTCAATATTTTGCTGCAGAACAAACTAGTGTATCTTGCGGTACCAAAGATGGATAACGTACACAAATGGACTTGGAAAATGT